GCGCCTGATACAGGCCATGGTCTTTGCAATCACTTGTTATGCATCAGAGAGTTGGACAATGACTAGGGAGGACAGAAGGAGAGTTTATGTCTTTGAGCTGTGGTGTTGGAGAAGAGTAGTGAATGTACCATGGACTGCCAGGAAAACAAACATTCATCTTGGAGAGGATTAAACCAAGCTACTCCTTGGAGGCAACGATTCTGGGGCTTCGTCTGACATACTTTGGACATGTTGCCAGGAGGGGACTGGTCCTTGGAGAGGGACATCATGCTTGGGAGGGTGGAGGGACGGCGCAGGAGGGGAAGGCCTTCTATGAGGTGGATTGATCCAGTGACTGGGGTAATCGGGATGGGTGTGTCAGAGGCAGTGTGGTTGAAGCAGGATAGAGGAGGGTTTAGGGCTGTTGTACATAGGGTTGCTATGAGTCGCAAATGACTCGATGGCACATAACCACAACAACAACAACAACAATTATTTTGGATTGTTGTTGTTGTGTACTATTAAGTTGGAACTGACCCATAGCTGACCCTCTGGCGGGTTTTCAGAGGCAGTTAATCGGCAAGGCGGGGACACTGCCCATCCTTCTTCTGTGGAGTGGCTGGTGGCCTCAAATTGCTTGGTGGCCTGGAAACGCTTGCCTTTGGGAGTGCAGTGCAGCTTCTTGCCATTAGGCCACCAGAGCTCCATCTACTTTGGGTAGATAAACAAAATGGTCTGTTCTGCTCTTTAAATAGAGTGGGGGCTCATGGCTTTTTCATTTTGCTTTATAATTTACATATCTATTATATAGACTCCTTTGAAGAGGTAAAATTGCCTTAACAACAACAACAAAAAGAATTCAAGCAAAAATGACCTGGTAGTCTAAATCTTGTCAAAGCATGAGCTGCAATTAGAGATGAGAGGCAGAAAGTATCCAAGAGACATAGAGGTGGATGTCCTAGCTGCACAGCAGAAAGAACTTGGGATCTCGGGATCTGTTTTCTAATGTGAGAAAGGAAAACCATTAATTCTACCCACTTCAGGGATCACTGTGAGGATTAAATGAGCTGGCCCCTGTGTCAGAAGAGGGCTCTATACACGTGTATTTATTTATTTTATCAGAAGGCTTGCTTCCTCTCCCTTGCTCCTTTCTCTGGGGAACAGCCCCATCCTGACTCCGTAGTTCTGTGGGGCTGTTATATGTGACTCGCCTCAACCACAGTGGGAGGAGCCACTCCAGGATATGCCAGTGGGATTTTTCCCCCCCCTCCTGGGAATGTATGAACACAAACACAGAAATGGAAGGAAAGTGACATTCAATCATCTGAACACAGGGCCCCATCAGGACCACTGTTTTGTTTCTCTCCCCGAAATCCTTGAAGCTACCCTGCTTTTTGTCCTTTCTAGCACTATCTTTGAGTATGTGAGCATCCATCATCATGGAAAAAAAGAGAACAAATAAAAAAAAACACAGCACAACATCCTTCTCACTTAAGCTTTTTGTTGTGTGCATCCATGGAAGTCTGACTGAAGAGGGAATCTCTTTTTTGGCATTGGCCAAGCTAGACAAAAGAGTGATGTCACAGCACGCAAGGTTCATTTGGTGCTGCTTCAACAATCTCTTTTCCTGGTCTTTCCTCATCTAGTTTTATTTTCCTCTCAAAGTTTTCCAGAAACTCCCAGATTAATCTGTAGAAGATGAGGCTGTTATAATCTGTGGAATGTGACATTGTTATCCTTTACCCAAACCTACTGCAGAAGCACCGTACTGCTGACAGCATGACCAAAGTCAGAGGCTACTAAAAAAGAGAGAAGAGGTGACAGCTGTTGGTTCTGCTTCCCCTCCCAGACACAAATTTCCTTCATCCTCAGAGAACCTGGTTATGGCAGCAGCAAACGATTTAGAGATTTGCAATCTAATAAAATAACATCTTTGGAAAGTAAAAGCTAAGTAAAGCAATTATGTTAAAAGTATGATTATCCACCTGGCAATATGATTCTGAATCAGATCGCCCATTACTATTCCTATAAATAAGCACTACCTCATGTGGATTCTTGTGTCATCAGAAGAAAGTAACAACTAGCTAGCTAGATGCATATGGATCTGAATGTACCAGTCTCGGGTGTAAAAACAGTATATGAAACAGAACTATTCCTTGAATCAAGTCCCTCAACTCTCTCATCAGTCTATTAGAACAGAAGCTCCATGAGAAAGCAGATGGGGCTGACAGGTCATTGTGAAATAAAAGCCTGCTTTGTCAGGTGGAAGTAACTCTAATATCTTAGAACTGTTTACCTATAATCCCGTTCCCTCTGCTCATTCCCTTCAATGCCAAATTCCTACCTTCATCATGAAATGGAAGCTCAATGACCCAGAAATAATTTGAACAAACCTATTTCACTGAGGACGCTTTCATTTTTATCTTCATTAACTCTTTGGTCCCTGTCAAGTAGCTGAAAGTAAGATTTATGTTTCGGTGGCAGGGCCCAGAGGATCTTAAAATGTAGACAATCTGTACACTTAACTGAGGCAGAAAATAGTTCATGTTTTATATATAGATACACTTATGTAAAGAAAAATGTTTTCTCTTTCTGTTAAAGAAAAATATTGTACTATCTCATTCTATTTTTCACATGGAAAGAATTTTAAACTAAAAAAAAAAAAGCAATGAGCTTCCTAGATGAATGTCACTAATTTTTACCCCCACATTTAACATTTTACAACTTCACATCTTTTCTCTTTATGGGAAATACATACCCACACATACAACAAGCTTGTTCTCCTCAGATGAATGGCTTGAGTAAATAGGATCTCATCTTGGACTAACTTTAAGATTCTGATTAAGCTGTTGTTAGCAGCTGTCGGGTTGGTTCATAACGACCCTATGTACATGCGAATAAAACCTGGCCCCATCCTGCATCATCCTCATGATGGCTGCCACTTCAGTCTATTGTTGAAGCCACTGCAGAACCACTGGCATGAATCCCACCTCCCCATCCCCACTTGGTCTCTAGGGACAAACTAAAATGCAAAAATATGGGGAATTTATTCTAAGCCCAAAATAAAAGCAACTGACATTCAATTCTGAATATCAATTTTCTGATGCTTATCAAAATGGCTATTCATAGTAAACCCCCTTTTCCATAAAATGTGGTGGCTCCTCCAAATCTGTGTCAGTAGGTTATTATTTTTAATACAATTAGACAATTAGAAAAGTTTCCCAGCATTGACATCTTTATACCCTTCTCATTAATACTATCATTTACCACTGTTACTCCACTGTATTTCCAAAGCACACTTTTATCTTTGGTACATTCATATAGATATATCAATGGTGAGGTGAGAACAAATTGCTAAGAGCAAATCAAAATGAGAAACAATAAAACACAGTCATTGATTAGGGGGCCACAGAACATTTTTTGAAATATATAACAGATTTAAAATCTACAGAATCTGGTTCTGTTTTAAGAAAGTGTTTTCTTCAGTAGGATCCAATAGTTGAACATTACTACTGTCTGTTGTACCTATTTTTTCAGGGAGTTCTGGTAGCGGAGTGTTAAGAAGTTGTGCTGTCAATCCAAAAGTACTAGGTTTGAACCCACCATCTGTTCTGCAGGCAATCTCCTCCAGTGTGGTTTACAACCCCTGAAAACCTGCTGCAGGCTCAGCTACCAGTCAGTTCCAACTTAATGCACATTAACAACAACTGTACCTATTTTAGGAAAAGATTAATCAAAATTGGGCTGGGAAGTTTGTGCCTTATAGGTGAAAGAGTTAAAAGTATCTTTTCTCTCTGATAGGATCTTTAAATGGTTCAAAAACAAAGTCTGGATGTGAAAACTTTTTAACTTACAGAATTCCAATAAAGAGAAATGTGATTTAATTTCCATTTTATACATGTACGGTATCGGACCAGAGAACAATCCTGAGGTCAATTTTCTTCTAAATGCCTCTACAAATGGGTCAGGTAGATCTTACCAGAAGCATTGCTGATGATCCATTGGGTCTGGATAAGTGGATTGACATTTCAGGAAACATCCGGTCAATGCGGCTGATCACATCATCAACATACCTAGAGGGAAACAAGAAACACAGGCATCAATGACAGCCCTATACAGAGACATGAAAACATACGGTTTGCCAGATTTGTCTTTAAAACACTAATTCACTGTATTTCCTCTTGTCTTTTAATGGGTGGTCTTTTTTCTTGTATTTTCTTTTTGGTGAAATAATATATAAGTAAGGGAGCTCTGGCAGCTTGAGTGGGCAAGGAGTTATGCTGCCAACCCAAAGGCAGGTGATTTGAATCCTCCAGTTGCTCTGAGGAGAAAGATGGGCCATCCTCTTCCCAGTGATTTACAGCCTTTGAGAAACCACTAGATCGTCGGCTCTAAGTCTGTTCCAATTCTTTAGTACAAAATAACAATATACAGCAGGTCAACAAGTACTACGTGGACAGTTCAGTGACACTGATTATATTCTTTACATGTATCATCTTTTGGCTATCTCTCCCAATACTGCTTCATCACTTTGACTCAGACTAAAATGAAACCCAAATCCATTGACATCAAGTTGATTTTTACTTACAGTAACTCTCTAAGACATAGAAGAATGGCTCTAAAGAGCTTCCAAAGCTTTTACATTTACAGAAGAATACTGACATATCTGCTTTCTTCTGAGCAGGTGGTGGTTTTGAACCATCTTTCACAGCTAGCAGCTGAGCTCATGGAAACAGCAGGGTTCCTAACTCTAAGATTTATTCTTTCTTAAGTAACAGATGAGCTAGAGCCTATGATGATGGAGGAGGAAGTTCAAGTTGCTCAGAAGGAATTGGCAAAAAAACAAGGCTCCACGATTTGACAGCATACCAATTGCTTTATTTCAACAAAGAGACACTGCCCTGGATGTGCTCACTAAGTTGTGCCAAGAAATCGGGAGGACAGCCAGCTGGCCAACTGACTGGAAAAGATTGGTATTTGTTCCCAATCCAAAGAAAGGTGACCCAACAAAAATGTGAAAATTATCGAACAGTATCATAAATATCATATGCAAGCAAGATTCTGCTGAAAATTATCCAAAAACGTTTGGAGCAATATGTCAACAGAGAGCTGCCAGATGTGCAGGCTGGATTTAGAAGAGGTTGTGGTACTGGGGATATTATAGCTAATGTTAGATGGATCTTGGCAGAAAGCAGAGAATACCAGAAGAATGTCTGTCTGTGCTTCACTGACTATGCAAAGGCTTCTAACTGTGTGGATCACAACAAGCTGTGGCTGACTCTGAAAATGGGAATCAAAGAACATCTGACTGTGCTAATGCGAAACCTATACTTGGACCAAGAGGCAGTAGTCAGAACAGAGCAAGGAGACACTGCATTGTTCAAAATAGGGAAGGGGGTCCACCAGGGATGTATTCTGTCTCCGTACCTTTTCAATCTGTATGCAGAACAGATTATCTGAGAAGCTGGACTGTACGAGGAGGAATGTGGCATCAGGATTGGTGGAAAAATCATCAACAACCTGTGTTATGCAGATGACACAACCCTGCTTGCTGAAACTGAGGAAGACCTGAAGTACTTGCTGCAGAAGGTCAAAGACTGCAGCCTTCAATATAGATTGAAGACCAACATTAAGAAAACAAAGATTCTCACCACTGGGCCAATCTGCAGCATCAGTATGGATGGTGAAGAGATTGAGATAGTTAATAGTTTTAGTTTATTTGGTTCCACAGTCAACATTCTTGGTAACAGCAGCCAGGAAATCAAGAGACGAATTGCATTGGGAAAGTCAGCTGTGAGGGACCTCTCAAGAGCACTGAAGTGCAATGATCTCAGGCTGGAGACTAAGGTGCGCCTGATCCAGGCTATATTCTTCACAAGTACGTGCTATGCATCGGAGAGTTGGACAGTGAATAGGGATGACAGAGAATTGATGCCTTTGAGTTGTGGTGCTGGAGAAGAGCATTGAATATGCCATGGACTGCTAGGAGAACAAACAGGTTTGTCCTGGAGAAGGTGAAGCCAGAATGCTCCTTAGAGTCAAGGATCCTGAAGCTTCGTCTGACATACTTTGGGCATGTTGCAAGGAGGGACTGGTCCTTGGAGAGGGACATCATGTTTGGGAGAGTGGAGGGATGGCGCAGGAGGAAGACCCTTGATGAGATGGATCGATTCTGGGATTGGGGTGGTGGGAATGAGTGTGTTTGAGATGGCGAGGTTGGCACAGGATAGAATGGTGTTTAGGGCTCTTGTACATAGGGTCGCTATGAGTTGCAAGGGAGTTGATGGCACATAACAACAACAACAACAATGCTTTAGTTACTATAGTCACTTTGATCTTCTATAGACAATTTTTAAACAGAGCACAATGGTCAAGGTCTAAACTGTTAAATTTATTTTGAAGATGATTCAGGGAATAGTTTGAATTTATATTTTCTTAAGACAAAAGATTTTTTTTCCAAGTCAAGTTTTGTCAACTATCTGTGAGGTCTTACATATAGCATTACACAGTAAAAGGGACAGACTTATTTTAACATCTTTATCAGAGCATCCACACTGTTGCATTTATTAGAATGCCATTTCTCTCACAGCTGAGTAGTATTTGATTTGTGCCTCGTTTTGTTGACCAATTCACCCTCTAACACTTAAGTTGCCTGCATTTTTTTCCTATTATGGATGTTAATGTTTAAGTCCCTACTTCTAGCCACCTAGGCATGGAATTGCTGGTTTATAAAGAATTCTAGTTTTCATTTTTTGAGGAACTACCATCCTGTTTTTCACAATGCTTTCACCGTTTTACATTCTTACCAGCAATGAAAAAATGTAATGATTTTATAACATCAGGACTGGCCAATTTTTAATTATTTCTTTTGTTATATCCTTCCTACTTCTAAATATTTTTAATATCAGTTCTTATTTTTCCATTTTTGTGTACACCTGTCTAATTTGTTTCTCTAAATGATCAGAATTTAGCTCGTTCTCATTCCCAGATATTATCCTTTGTCCTTTCAGCCTAGAGGATGTGGCAACAACATTGCTGAACTCTGGTTGGTACACTGTTACCGATTTGGAGTCTTAATCACTTGCACAACCAATTTCTTGGACTAAATTTAATCCATTTTAGATACCAGAAGTACTTATGGCTTTTCTTTTTGGACACTAAGTTACTCAAATTATGTTATGATTTTTGTTTAAATCAGTATTTGGTGTTTATAAAGTCTATGCATATATTTTAAATAGCTGAATCACTTACTGGCTCACATGTACATTTATTTATTCACCTGTATTGTTTTGTTTTTCCTTGGATTTTTATTTATACTTGATTCTCACTTGTACTATTATTATGTTATGTCCAAAATGCAGTAAATAGACGTTCAAAACCACTCTCTTTATAGTCAAATATATCTATTATATTAGATCATCTATCAGTTCCATGTTTCCTTGGAGCATTCCTCTAAGAGAGTCCTCTCTGTTCATCTAGCCCAAATGGAACCTAAATCTCTTAAAGCTTAATAATAATAATAGTAATAATAATAATAATAATAGTAGTAGTAGTAGTAGTAGTAGTAGTAGCAGCAGTAGTAGTTGTGGTGTACCATAGAGTCGGAACTAACCCATAGCTGACCCTCCAGTGGATTTTCAGAGACAGTTAATTGCACAGTAGGAGACTGCCCATTCTTCTCCCATGGAGCAACTGGTGGCCTAGAACCATGTGCCTTTGGGGTTGCAGAGCTGCTTCTTGCGACTAGGCCACCAGTAAGTGATGTAATTGATATTAAGCACTTAGACTGATATCTGGCACATATTTAAAGCTTAAAAAATGATGACTACTAATACTGGTAGTTCCACTACATAAACCATGGGCCCATTCTATAAAGAATAGGAGAATTTCTTTCTCCACTGGAGGCTTGGTCTAAAAAGATAATCCACTGCTTAAAAAAAGAGGGGTCTGTTTCAGATTCTTTGATAAAAACATCACACAAGCATTTATGATCATCACGTAATCACATTATGTTGTTGTGTTCTTCTGACTGTAACCAACTCAGAGGTAACCTTTATAGAAGCAGCAGATTGCATTGGAGAAGACCACTCATCCTTCTCCTGAGGAGCAGCTGATGGATTTAAACTGTGTTGCCTTTGGAATTGCAGCACAGCTTCTTACCACTAGATCACCAGAGCTACAGACAATGGAATGTAAAAGACAATATCTGAGATGCAAAACTACTTATTAAGAATTTTCCATTTGGATATAACCAGTTACATGTATAACTACACCAAGGAGTGGCCTATTTGGATATGAAAAATCAAATTACATGTTCAGGCAACTGGGGCCATACACAAAGTATGCTCTCTTCGATGAGGAAGATTAACTGTCCATTCACAACACAAAAAGTCAGAACCACAGTCAGAAACCACAGGCTGATGAGACATACCATACAATTATCTGTTAAAAAGTGAACGAAAGTTAGAAAGCAGTGTGACTGCTTACCTATAAGGCTTTCATAAGAGAATATTATACACAGGTTTAAATTTGAGTTGAAGAAGGTGTAATTAATGGTAAATAACAATAACAGCAAAAATTAGAACAGAAATGAACATGGAGAGAGAGTTAGAAGTATGTGGAAGGGCATTTGCTCATGGGGGAAAGGTGGCAAAGGAGAGACTTTAAAGAATGCCAATGACAACTACAAACTCATGACTGTGGATCTTTGCCTTCCATTTCTACAAAGGATCGTATGAGGAGGATATGGTATCCAAAAAAACTAACTTGCACAGAGATAACATGAGGCATTTTATGACAGTAATACTCTGCCCTTGTTACTTTTAAACATAGTATAGAGAAGAATCCTTCCTGAGGAGGGGAGTGCTAATAAACAAACTCACCAAGGCACATCATCCCTTTTAGGCCCTTCCAGATTTGCAACTTCAAGACATACTGTCTCCATTCTAAATTTAAGTGCCACAAAAGAGGAGGAGGAGGAGGAGGAGGAGGAGGAAATAACTCTTTTCATCACTGCTTAATATTTCTTGAAAAAGTAGAAAACACATGACAAAATTAATGCCAAGGCTATACA